TCTTAACGCTTAATTAAGTATTTAAATAAGAAAAAGAGAGCTTATAATAGCCTTAATAATAGGCTTAATTAAAGGGTATATTAGAATAAATTACTTATTATAAGTATAAATTATATACGTATAATTAAATAAGAGTAAACCCTTAATTATAAGTAAATAACTCTAATAATAAGCGCACTTATAAAAAGAGTATATATAATTCTCTCTTTTATAGCTAGACATAAACTTGTATATATATATTATCGTTATAATTAGTGCCCTTTAAAGTGTGACAATTTGGCTAAATGCAGGCTAACGCGGTGATTGCTGAAAGACAGAATTGGTAGCCTTTGGTTCGATACTGGCCATACGTGGTCATTTATACCTGTGGGAATCGGTGAAGAGGGGATGGAACTAATCGCTTAACTTCTCAGCAAGACGCTTTGTTACGCCAAAATGTCAACTTAAGGTTTGGATTCACTCACACCTTGACCCACAATTTCTTTCTAGCGTCCACTCACGGAGCGCCTATTGATCGGTGGGTAGTGGACTGAAGGAAATCGTCAAATGTTAAATGCCGTCTGGTGCGAAAGTTTACTCAGTGAAGAATTGTCAGTCAAGGGGTAAGGAGTGCCACTGGGCACGCGGCGCCGAGTCACCATCGTGTGCGCGCCCAGAATAGCTGTAATCTAGGAGCAACTTGCGGACAAGAATATCAATTTGACTCTGAGGCTACTCTCGTTAGGCTAGACTATAAAACAGGCGATCTTGAAGCACAGAACACGTTTTCCTTGACAGCAGAGAAGACGAAAGAATCTCCTGGGATTGATACCTCGCGGATTGAGAAAAGGGACAGTATACGGAGTACGGAAATGATGATAGTAACATTAAAATGTGAATCAGCAGCGTGGCAGTATGGAGTCCTCAAGTATTATTTCCATGTGGGCACCAAACATGTCATGCCAAACTCTATAGTCAATGCTATGGGGGCAGTAGACTGCAGGAATGTCTGCCCAGGGCTAAATGCGACGAGATTATATTCAGTGTTCGTTGCTCGTTCAAGATCGGGTCGACTCGATCATCTCGGCCCGGAACATGTAATGGCCGGGCCGCGTTAGACGAGTACTATTAGACTCGGAGTTGGTTGACAGCAAGAGCCAGTGTGTAACATCCTCACGAGTGTCCATGCACACCAAAATTCCCAATGTCACCACATGCAGCTCAATCTTCACCATTGGACGCCTTCCGGCGAACATTTGCTGGCCAATGCGTCGCCGCCCAACACCCAACGGCCTCCATTTGCCGAGTCCAGGGAATTTTTACTCCGCCATAACAAACAAACGCTCCTTGTCCAGCTTCCGCAGTGTGAGCCGCCAATCTACTTTACCGCCCTGAGCTACGCGCCTGTGTCGCAACATGGTTTTGCTCCTCGACGTGGCTGCAGCAGTCCTGGTCTTGGCTATTCGTGCAGCAGCAACATCTGAGATATATCCACCGAAACCGGTCGATTTGACAACTCCTGTCCAACAGCGCATTGCCATATATGGTCCAAAGCGTATGTGATCGGCGCTTTTCAAAAGACATACACGGTCTCTTACGCTGTTTAGACGTATCTATTGGCTGGAACACTTATCAGCGGCTGAGCAAGCCATGCGTTCAATATGGCACCAGAAACGATGCTCTAACACAGGAAGCTTGCTCAAACATGTCTGAGACGTATTCAACATCGCGAACATGGTCCAACACTGTCATTATAGATGGGCTGAAGCCTGCAATCATATATTATTACAAGATTGTGTCTACCAACTCCAGCATTGATCACTTTACCAGTCCACGAGCAGCTGGCGACACGACCCCCTTCGCCATGGACGTTGTGATTGACTTGGGTGTCTACGGAACCGACGGCTTCACAACCGACAAGAGGGATACCATTCCAAAGATCGAACCTGCGCTTAACCACTCCACCATTGGCAGACTTGCCGATACCATTGATGACTATGAGTTTATTATACATCCTGGTGATTTTGCCTACGCTGACAACTGGTACGAGAGGCACAAAAATCGGCTCCACGGGGAGGCAGCATACCAATCTATTCTAGAACAGTTTTACCAGCAACTGGCTCCCATTGCAGGCCGTAAACCGTACATGGCCAGTCCTGGCAACCACGAAGCAACCTGCGATATAACCCGTCACGTAAGAGGAGACTGTCCCTCAGGCCAAACCAACTTCACAGACTTTATGAGCCGATTCGGCTCCACCCTACCCACGGCTTTCCCATCTTCGTCGTCTAATGCCACCGCGAGGGCCAGAGCTGCAACAGCGCAGAAGCTGGCGCGGCCACCATTTTGGTACTCTTTCGAATATGGCATGGCCCATGTCGTCATGATTGATACCGAGACGGACTTCCATGAGGCCCCAGATGGCCCTGGTGGCTCAACTGGTGACAATGACGGCCCATTCGGCTCACCAAATCAGCAACTGGACTTCATCGAAGCAGATCTAGCGTCCGTAGATCGTACAGTTACTCCTTGGTTGATCGTCGCAGGCCACCGACCCTGGTACACAACGAGCGGAGGAGAAGCATGCCGGCCATGCCAGAAGGCGTTCGAGCCACTGCTCTACAAGTATGGTGTAGATCTAGCCATTTTCGGTCATGTACACAACTCGCAGCGCATGGTGCCTGTCTACAAGGGCATCGCAGATCCAAAAGGTATGAGAAACCCGAAGGTGCCCATGTATATCATAGCAGGCGGAGCGGGCAACATTGAAGGCTTGCGGCCAATAGGCAAAAATGTCTCATACAATGCATTTGCGTATGCGGATGACTTTAGTTTCGCCAAGGTGTCGATCAAGGACGAACACAATCTGCAGGTTGACTTTATCAGGTCAAGGACGGGGGAAGTCCTTGACACGAGTGTGTTGTACAAGGAACATGGGGAGAACGCGACTTTTTTAGACGATAAGTCTACTTCAGTAGCCAGGAGGGGGGTGGCATGGCTGGAGATTGTTGTGATGGTTGTACTTGTGATTCTATAACAAATAATGGCATAATCGGGAACAAGTTAGTATGTACGAAGTACTCTCAGAGGAAATCTCACCGTTGTTACTATGTATTATGAGAGACGAAGCTGTGGTGGGTGAACGGCTGTAAGATTATCAGCGCCGTTTCCAACCCCTCGAATTAAGGAGCCGAATTTACCAGACGAGTTCGGTCCAAGACGAACAATCCTGGTCATATCGACGCCACTTGATGGAGACTCTCGATGCCAAGACGCTTCCCGCCCCGAGCCGATTCACCAATGCTACGCTGGCCCTTGGCATCCGGCCATCGCGTAGACGCCATCAGCAGGGATTACAAGGCGAAACGTGCGCTGTGCACGTCGTCAATAGCGGCTGAAGCCCACAATTTAGGCGCATGTTAGAGTGGCGTGTTGATATACTCATTAAAGGGCGTTGAATCAGCGCGGCCTGCAATTTTGATGTCGCTGGAACAGAACTCGCCACCAATGATGCTGCTCATGGGCAAATAGAGACGGCCCTTTTGACCGGGTAACAGCAAATCAAGGCCGACGCGACGTCGATTTGTTTCATTGGACGAGTTTGTTTTACAATACATGTGGCACTGATGGCAAATTCTGCTAGGAGACTACTTTTGGTGATGGAAGTAAATGTGTACTATGGTCATGTATGTAGGCGTACTGAATGACCGAGCTGGCCATCTAGTCGACCTCGAACAAGGCATGTCAAACTAAAACATCTTGTGGATGAGGCGTCTCCATGCCGGCAGGGTGGCCAACTTGGCTCTGTGGGCATTAATGGCGTCCCAGTCGAGTTCACGACGTCCTGTGTCAACATCGATCTGCGGGGTTCGCAACCAGCCCTCGCGCTTCCAGAGGTAGCCAATGGCCCAGAAGAAGAGAATGACTGGAGCGGCGAGGTACTGCTGGAAAAAGGTCTCGGCCGTCGCCATGCCGGACTTTCCGGGTGGTGCCGTAATCGCAGAGTAAAACTGGGAAATCTTTGTGTTAGTCGAGGGACTTTTTACCCAGGGGGGGTTACAACTCACCTGTGCCATCAGGACGATGACGCAGAGGAAAAGGCCCAGCCAGGAACCGTACACTCCACCTGCAGCTCTAAATGGGATTTCGTCGACGGTGTGACCATGGTAAGCCCACGCCTTGCGGAACCGAATGTGAGCCACACAGACGGAACCCCAGGTAAAGAGGGTGGCGAGACCGGAGATGGAGAGCAACCACGTGAAGACGACGGGTCCGGTAGCACTCAGACTGACAAAGGCAATAAAGCCAAAGAGGATAATGACAATGACTGAGAACAGGGGTCGGCCAGATTTATCAATATACGTAAAGATCTTGGGCGCGTACTTTTGCTGTGCGAGGGCGGTAAGCGTCCGCGAACCTCCATAAACAGCCGAGACACTAATAGACATGACAGAAACAAGGATGACGAGATTCATAAAGTGGTCAAATCCGACAAGGCCGGCGTACTTGCCCACGAGGACAAACGGCGACGCCTTGGGGTCATTGTAAGCTCCCGCATTCAGCAAGGCAGGATCCGTGTCCTCGATAAGGAGCCCAACGAAGAAGAGACCTAGAATGTAGAAGAGGGTGATGCGCCAAAACACCTGCTTGATGGCGCTGGGCATGGTCTTGACGGGGTTGCTAGACTCGGCGGCAGCCAGGCCAACCAGTTCCGTGCCGGAAAACGAGAAGGCTGCCGTCACGAAAACGGAGCAGAATCCCTTGAAGCCGTTTTTAAAGGCGCCCGGGTTATACCAGTAGCGCGCGCCCCAGTACGAGTCGTACCGGCCGCCCGAGGGGCCGCCGCCGCAGACCAAGACGAGCGCGATGATCATAAAGATGACGATGGCGCACAGCTTGAACAGGGATGCCCAGAATTCTTCTTCCGCGTAGCCCAGGGCGCCAAAGACATTGATGATGATGATGACGACGAGGAACACGGCAATCCAGACGCCGACAGATATATCGGCATTCCAGTATTGGATGGAAATACCACACACTGTCAGCTCGAGCGGTAGCACCGACGCCCATTGCAGGACATAGTTCCATCCCATGGCGAAGCCCCATGAGGGGTCGATGAAACGGGCTGAATAGGTGTAGAAGCTGCCGGAGACAGGGTACATGATGGCGAGTTCTCCGAGCGCGTGGACTAGAAACGAGCCGATGAGCATCCGAGTTCGTCTGGGGGGTTTGACATGGATGCGGTATTCGCGTCACAAGTACGTACCGACATTGAACATCATGACACCGATGATTAGAAAGTCGACAAAGAGCGATCCCGGTCCCTGTTTGGGTTGCGCGTCAGCCGGTCGAGTCCCTTTACTGCCATATTGATGGGAATTGCACTTACGCCGTTTGCCAGCGCGCCGCCCGAGCCAACAAAGAAGCCGGCGCCAATGGAGCCGCCAATGGCAATCATGTTCAGATGGCGAGCCTTCATCGGGCGCTCCAGCTCAACGATGCCCCAGCCGTAGTGCTGCTTCTTGAACGACTCGGCGTTGAGGCCGTTGCGCGTCATGAAGTCGGGGTGCGGCTCACAGATGACGGCGTCCTTGGACACGACTTGCGAGGTGCCCTCGACGGGGGCCTGCGTGTGGCCCTTTTCCGCGTCGGAGAAGGGCACAGCGTCCATTTCCTTGTGTGTATCCGACATGGTTGAAGCGCAGAGCGGTGTGTGTTGTGTCGTGACGTGATGAAGGGGACCAGATGTGCAAGGTGGACGGGCAGGACACTTGTATAAAAGCGATGCTCCCCGAGACGCGACTTGGGGGGAAGGTCGAGCGGAAAAACAGGAATTCCCCCCAAAAGGGGTGGGAAGCACCGACATATGAAGCTTTCTTCTGGAAACTTTCCTCATGCACGAAAGGGTGGCTTACGGGCGCTGCATGGTCGGCGACTCTCTCTCCTTCTCCCTCCATCTTCCAACCAACGCTCCGGGAATCGACAGCTTTGCCCCGGTCACCTGGGCAGCCCAGGATGGCTGGCAGATATCGAATGTCATGCCGTGCTCCCGTGGCAGGGGCACCTGGCTCCCAGCCAGTGGCGACACATGGCGTTTTTCTAGACGATCAGCAGTATCACGGCGTGGAAGCAGGACATTGGGATGGCCTCAGTGGCATAATGGGCGTGGCGTGGGCGCTTCCGCGGCCTGGCTTGCCCGGGCTTGGATTGTCACGGCACGCCATGACGGCAAAGTGAAGTCGAGTCGTCGAACACAACTGGGACACGCACATTGTCACCAAGACTTATCCGTAGCTAGATGATGCCCGCCAAGTATGAGGGTATCGCAGCAACAAACGGCCGCAGGACCCCGGCAATGCGCGCTAGCTTTATCTTTGAAAGAAGATCGAGACTCCGCACGCCAGTCAAAGTCATTTCCCTGCATGCGAGGATATTGGCCAGCAAAGGGGCCTTGCACAAAGAGGAGGACATCTGGACCTTTTGGGAAGCTCAGAGACGTGGCGCTAGCGCAGGTGTGCCAGGATTGCAGGTCGTGGCGTTCTCTGGGCGGCAACTTTGTTCCGAGTCTTGGTGGCAATCTGCGGGGATACGTTCAGTGTTGGTCCAATTTGAAGTCTTGTCTGCGTCTTGTTCTGCGTGCTTACTGCGCGAGCCTGCGAGGTGTAAGCCGGGGGCTGGACAACCGGGCGGCCAGTGACAGCCAACAGCGTTGTGCTTACGACGGTAGAGGCGTGAGAGGTGGAATACTTTTTTATACCCTCGTTTTTAGATTTGGTGATGAGCTTGCTTCATGGCACCCGAGGTTGGCTTTGAGTTGGCCGGCGTTGGGCGCCATGTCGCAATCATGACGGTCCAAGACCAAGACGCAGTCTAAGACAACAACAACCCGCCAATCGCCCTCTTGGTGGCAAACACCCGTCGCCAAACTTCACGATACAGCCGCGATGCGCCTCAGAGCCGTGGCGCCAAGATTGCCCGCTTGGCTTCTCTTGACCCTTCTAGAAACATTTGATAGCGACGGCGTTCCCCCAGGTGAAGAGGGATAGATGACAGAGCAGGGTCAGGGAACCAGAAAGTTGACTCCAATCCGTCCCTGTATTCTGCCCGGAGCGCATCGCAATCAAATGCCTCTTGCCCCCTTTCCACAAGTAACTTCGGCCGCCACGACACGATACGTCGTCGCCTGGTATGAATCTTGCCGCGCTTCTTGGAACTTTGTTTCTGAAACCCGTTTGATGCTTGGTGCAAAGCGTTCACGCTCACTGCTACGCACCCACGTTTCCACGTTCCACGTTCCACGTCCCAAGTTTGCTTCGCACCAACGATGGCTACATGTCAACGTGGGTGTCACATCCGCGTGTTGGCGTGGTAATCTCTCACTACCCACCAATCGCCTCCCTCTCATTCGCTAGAGCCTATCTGCGCCCCATAATTCAAAGCCCCACCTTGCCCCACCATCGTCAGTCAACTCTCAACCTTAAACTCACTCACTCACTCACTCACTCTCTCCCTCTCTTACTCACCCACCTCGCGGTTTTCATGGTTGGGGCTGTCTGCTTCTCCACTCGCTTTGTTCAAGGAATGACCTTATGCAGGCGGGCGGGCACGCCGCTTTATGCGGGGTATTAGCCGCTGCGTAGTATCAAGGATCTTGTCCCGCTTTAGTGGCTTGATTGAAAGCGTCATTTGCACGCTCTCGCCAGCCTGGAGGGTGCAATCTGTTGTTGCCTTTTAACATGTTTATGGACCAGGTGAAACGGGACACTCGGCGTTTTTCAGCCTCTGGCTTGGAAGAATCAGCCATGACAGAATCGGCTATCGCTTGGCATAGGCATACGCTTAGTCTTGGACTTGTCCTGCAGCTGGCCGTGATCCCCCATGCCGGCCAGGAATAATCTAGAAGCCACACTCAGTTCCTGCAGTACCCATAAAATACGTAATAAGAATTCAAGCCGCCTTGTGATTTCTTCCTAGATGGCTCCTCTTGCAACCGGTATTCTCGCTGCCCACGCAAAGTGGGCATATATCCATAGTAACTTACATAGCGATCTCACAAGCCGGCATTGTCATATCGGTTCCGCCACTTTTCCGGGGAAGTGGGTTACCGTTAGTCACTGCATCTGCTTTGACAGCGGAGGACCCATCTTCTGGTCCGCGGTGGCGAAGAGGGCGCAACTTAGACCACTTAGCCTGGAATCGAGACGAGACGCCCTAGACGTGGTAGTAACAATTCCATGCATGGCTCGCCTATGATTACATTACATTTCAACTCCATTTATGCGCCCGGCTAGCCGTGGTATTGTGAGCCGAAGAGCGACTAGGTCGAGCGGGATGCACATGAAGCTGAAACGAAATTTAACCAGATGCAGAAGGGGAGATATTTTCCGGTGTTTGAGACAAAAGGCAAACTCAAAGAACGTGCAAACAGGGTTCCGCGAACGAGCTTCAACGATACAAGACCCTGGTGGTGCTTTGAGGCCTGCCTTTAACCTTGAAGCGCGAAGATCACATCTTTGAGTCCAAGGGGCAATCACCAGGGGGACTATTCAGAGCCAAAAGCGTACTCTTAAAGTTTGGGATATTCGGCGAGACGGCTTTTAGAGAGTCTTTTGTTCCATAACCCAACGGTCAAACTCGGCAGAGTGGAACGATTTAGGCGTCTGTTGTGCTTTGCATCTCATCCAGCTTCCCGTAGCCATAATAAAAGGTGTTGAAAAGTCTCGCGGGATGCTTTTAAGTACTATGACTGATGTGACTGACAAATGAGCCAAAAGTGCTGACTGCAGCGAGAGATACGAACTCTTTGCTATTTAAGAAGGTTGAGGAAAGAGATAACGACATAGCCTGTTGGTTGGCGTAAATCGTCTATGGAGGAGTCGGACGCAGTATTATTTGTTCTTCTCACCATATTTAAGAAGCGCTTAACCAGACAAAACCAAATTGCGGCAAGGAATAAGGATTGCATTATACTGTCACAAAAAGAAAGCGCTCTAATTGAGTAGCAATGATGCCCGTGAAATCCCGTTGACAAGTACATATTTTAGGAGAGTATCGCCCGACTGGGGGGTTCAGAGAATGTACAAGTTATTAACCAACCAACAGCAGTATCGGGGCCTTGCATTATGAAATGATAGTGTGCTATCAGCTACTTTGGATTCCACACCCGCCCACGTATCCGTTTCCACCAGTGACAGCCTCCAAGAGCGTAGTGCTCAAAATAGAGCTATTTCCGAAGACACTCCTTCAAAAAAGGCTGGCAGTCATGCGGGGATGTCCGTGTGACATTTTGACGTGTGTCATTTGCGATTACCTGACTCAAATATACATAGGTCAAATCCTGGACTAGAATGCTGTATCAGTAATTGTTCCATATGTGCGGGTTTCCATGCACGAGGGAGGAAGAAAGAGTCAACGTCAGGGCAAATATCTCTCCTCGAGCTGGCATGCGTGATCTGCCTCCAAATTTACTCGTGGGCGCAGGAATACTCATACAGAGCACGAATTATAATTCTTTTACTTCTATAATAAAGGAAGATCTGCTAGGCTCTCACAGAATACAGAATCGCCAAGGTCGCCATGGAAAGAATGGCACATAAAAGAAAGGGCAGGCCTGCCCATATATCGCCCAGCGAAAGACCAATTCGAAAGCTAGCAGCCAACACCGGCCCAGCACTGATCCCGCCTATATTCTCAAGTATAGCTGCCGTTGTGAACAATGCCGCTCGATGATGAGGCTCAACTAACTGGGTAAGCAAGCTTCGCAGAACAAGGCTGTAAGCGGAACCCAGGCACCAGATCATTATGCCTAGAAGCACTTTGCATCAGCGTGATATCCTCTACGTAATAAACTCAATACGCAGAGGAAAGAGGCTTGTAGTGGGGGACTGGCATCACATCACACGCCCAGCGTCCGGAACGGAAACTTGTTCTTACCGAAGAGAAAAAAGGCACTCGTAGCGGAGACGCAAATGACCAAGTTTCCAACTGTGAGAAGCATAGAGCTCATTTTGGCCAGAAACAAATCCTTGTCAATCGCTCGCATTGCCCACTTTTTGACAAGGAAAAAATTGGCCATCGGAAGAAGTATTGTGAGCAGTACCAACGTACTTGCAGCCTTGTGCGAAATAAGATTCCCAGCCTGCATTGAGAAAACGTCATGAGTATCGTATAATTCACTTTCAAGGCCCTACAGTGGGAAACAACTGACCTCAGACCATGACCATTTGAATCGTCTTCGGGCGAATTGAAGCATCATCTCTTGTGCCGTCTTTCCAAACGTCGTTGTCAAAAGGGTAGAGAGAAGGAAAGCTACCCGGTAATTTCCTGCAACAAAAAAGACGGTACCCTCCTTGAGTCTCTCCAAGCCATGGCAAAATCGAACCCAAATGTTGCTGTGCTTGTGACCTCGCTCGACCTCCTCATTCTGACCCGTGGAACTATCAGCGCTTATTAAGCCAGGAGACGCCTGGTCCGAAAACACCGATGGGCTTTTTGTTTCTTCCATGCACAGGACCAACAATATGCAAACAGGGAATAAAATTATGCCAAGGAAAATCGGAAGCCACAAGTTTGCCTGCATCAACACTGAAGCCACAGGGCTAACGACCAGCTCAGTGACAAGAACGGCAGCCCCAAGCGTAAAGAATGTTGTAGCCCTAGTTGATGGAGGCGTAAGTACTGTTTTACACTGACGGCGTTGCTGGGAGAAGTGTGCCTCACCGATATGGACCGGGGACGAGATCGGACAATGCCGAGAACACAACTGAGCTCAACACGGCGTTGCCGCCGCCGATGAGCATGAATGCTGGCGATACCCATGTGAGACGAACGGGAAACTGTTGCGGCCAAAAACCTGGAGAGGGTCAACACTTGGTCAAGACAAGGCGTGTCATCTTGTGCACTCACAAACAGCTGTGTAGAATAACGACGCCATGCTCATCCCTGCGACGCATAGTATGAGCACGGGTTTCTTTCCGTATTTATCCGCTGCAAAGCCATACGGTATGCCAGTTACTATGCCTGCAGTGAGCCTATTCTTCAGCAATGGGTCGGGTATCGGATTGCAGTGCTGAATCTCGCAGGGTCTACAAACTTGGTATGAGATCAAAAGTGGTTTGCCATCCTTGTAGCGTGGCCAACTCTGCCTGTACGGCATTGTCGTCGCCGCATTGGCTGATATTAGGACGTGTCGAGTCCGCGTACATGCGGCGACAGATGTTTTCTTCGAGCACCTGGTTGAAAGGGACGGACTGAAGAATACTGCTTGATTCAATAAAGACGATGAGAATGATGGGCAACGAGCATAAAAGCATGCTGCGGCGCGAAAAGTCCTCCTTGGCATCGCGAGAGTGGTGTTGGGCGGTTGCATTGGTCATGGCATCCTCTTGGCCAGATGCCGTTTGCTGCGACAAGAGTGGCCATCTCTCGTCTGGTCCCACGGAGCTATGTAGTCCAGAGTCGCTCGAGGGAGACATGTTGATTCGGGGCGATGGCACGCTCAGCGGTTGCTCGTTGCTGTCACCTCGAGCCACGGCTGGGACGGGGGGAATGAGGGATGGCACTGCGGGGTGAAGAGAGCGCAATTGTACCAGACGGTGCACATGTCGTGCTGACGCTTGGATCGGAAACCCTGTGCTGTCATGTCAAGTATGCTGTCAGATGCAAAAGTACCTTGTAACTGTCGGCCGTCGACGCAGTCATCAAGGCCACAACCTGGTGGAGCTATGCTGACGTCCTGCTGCCAAAGAAGGCAGCAGCAGTCAAGCGTCTCTGCGGATAGCTGTAGTCTTTTTATTTTATTGGTACCGTCATAAGGTGAAGGAGAAGTAATGGGGTGATGATTGTGGCTCGTGCTTATAATTGACAGGTTACCCCGACATGGTAGAGGTTCCAGCCATTTGGCCAAGACTTCAAATAAGTAGACCAGTAATCCAAGGAATCACATCTTCTTGACCTCATCAACAGCGATTTCAGTCCAAATGAGAATGCCACAACGGCTCTTTTAGAGAAACTTGCATCATTCTGGAATGAATCTGTCAACTCTAAGCATCTTCTTGAATCCTTACTGGGTGCCGATAGCCTGGCAGAAAACATGTGCATCGCCGGCTACAACAAGCCTTGCACTCTTGGTCGAATTAGTACACTCGTGCGTTCCGACTTTGTCAAAGCTTTTCGAGATTTTACCGCCTATTGAATTCGTTTTGCGTTTAATATTAGCTTTGCGATCCTGCTCGGGATGTCTGGCTCCGGCTGGTCTATCAGTAAGAATCGATTGAGTCGCAAGTTGACGAAATCGTTTTCGGCCTCTGTTTCATATCCTGTCAGAAATCGAATACGCGCCAGCCCTCATCCAAGACTACGTAACCTTTGTACATGATTATCGAAATGGTTTATACGGGCCATTAGAATTTGCAATGTCAAATTTTGTCACAGGTATATCGTATTTGATTTTATCCAGTCTTCTATTTTCCTATATATTTATCTCGTTATGAAGTCCTCCAAGTCAGGTCGCGGCGTTTCTCAACTATCCTCTATGGATATGCCTTGGCTCTTTTGCAGACGAGGCAGTAATCGTTCTGGTCGTGGCGGTATACCCCAACTTAGTTTGCCGTTGCCTTTGCATGTCAGAGGACATAGTGTGAGAGAAAGAGCCAGTATGTGCATACTTGTAAGCCGGACATCGGGGTTATTCTGCCTAGGGCTGCTATTGCTGCATCTTTTTGCTCCATGGGCCTAGTAGTCTAACCAGGGAACCACTCTAACATAATCTGGGTATACTTGCTCTGCGTGATCTCCGAGTGTCGAATAAAACTGCCTCTGGTAACTGGAAAAGTAGGTTTGACGTCATTACCAGCATACCATAAAATCATAGATGACCTATATTTGAACAGCTGGGAAGCCCTCCGAAGCAGTGATACACAAAATGAACTCTTCCAGCGAGAAAGCGTGGCAATACTATCAACGAATCAAGGCTAGAAGCTTAGTGAATAACGAGTCTCATAACGTGACAAATGCCAGCAGAATAGGAGCGTAATGCTCTTTATTCGCAAAACAGTATCTCTCTTGCCAACTCCAATTACTTCCAAGTCAGGCAAAAATGCCTTTATTACGAGCTAGAACCTGCTAGACAAGTCACAACGATTACTCTGCTTTGCTTTCTCCGCACCCCCAACCTGGCCCTCGTTGTTACTGTCTTACTTGGCACCATTTTGACTGCCACCCCTTTGGCTGCCACCCCTTTGACTGCCACCATTTTGGTTGCCAGCCTTTTGATTGCCTCCCTTTTGGTTGCCGCCATTTTGGTTGTATTTCCTGGCCCGCCGTTTCCTTGGCCGCCGTTTCCTTGGCCGCCGTTTCCTTGGCCGCCGTTTCCTTGGCCGCCGTTTCCTTGGCCGCCGTTTCCTTGGCCGCCGTTTCCTTGGCCGCCGTTTCCTTGGCCGCCGTTTCCTTGGCCGCCGTTTCCTTGGCCGCCGTTTCCTTGGCCACCGTTTCCTTGGCCATTATTTCCTTGGCCATTATTTCCTTGGCCATTATTTCCTTGGCCATTATTTCCTTGGCCATTATTTCCTTGGCCATTATTTCCTTGGCCATTATTTCCTTGGCCATTATTTCCTTGGCCATTATTTCCTTGGCCATTATTTCCTTGGCCATTGTTTCCTTGGCCGCCGCTCCCCCGGCCCCCCGTGAGATCTTGTAGCGCTACACAGCCGCCAAACGGCCCAGCGTCGGCCAGGTTACGAATGCGGAGGGTACACACATTGAGGTCCTTGCCTGTGCCCCAAGGTCAGCATACATTTGCAGTCCCAGAGTCTGGCTGGGGAATACTCACCACCCTCGCATTTCATATCAGAAGGCAGTGGGATGGCGACATCGAAGGCTGTAGCTGCGGTTCGTTGAATGCCATTCTTTCCATCAATGCCGTCGACTTTGCCAATTTCCTTATCAATCCGTTAGCCTGGGAGGATGGCTTCGTGTTGCAGGATGGAGGAATGCTCACCCGGAAATTTCCCACGTTGCTCTTTTCGTCAATGTCGGCAAAGAAAGGACCGGAACCGTCTGTATTGACGACGTGCACTCTCAGCATCATGGTGTCTCCTGGCTTACAACCCGCGATTTGATTGTTTTGAATCGCAATCTCGGTTTCATTTGCCACGTCAATATTCGTCTGCAGCTTGGTCCGCCCGCATCCATTGACCAGGAGATTGTCTTTTTCCTTCGTTCGGATAATGGGACTATCCAGCTGGAATGGATTGGGGTCCTCGCCGGTGCGAGGAACATCTGGGTTGGCTGGCCACCTTTTTAGCATGGAAAGGAATGGCTAAGTGGAATAGCTGGCAGGGCTCGCGACTTACTGCCCATTCCAATACTCGAAGTCTTTCCCCCATCACACGAAGCGCCTAGGATGACGGCATGAGCGCTGCTTAGAGAGTATAGCACACTCAAGGCGAGAAGGCGCCGGAGAATTAAATGGTAGGCCATATCTGTCGGGAGCTGCAGAAGAGAGACTGCCTAAAGAACGCGCCGCGAAAAAAAAAGGAAAGAGAGTGGTGATCCAAATGTTGGGGTTGCAGAGGAGCCCAGCTCCAAAGAACGTTGATGAGAGAACGTAAAGATACAAGTGCGAGGCTTAGTCGAAAGAAGCTGCCCGACTACATTGGCGCTCATGGGAGTTTTTAAATAGGCTCAACTTTGAATCTCTTGGTTATTCCCTGTGTGAGGCTCAAAGAGCCGGGTCAAACCTGGCCAAAGCAGACATACGGTTTCGTCTGCACTTGCACTTCATGCGTATTGACGTGTTACGGCACTTCGGGGCAGTTCGTTTTCAATGAGAAACTGCCAGAAGAGGGATTCTGACTCGTAGTGTATCACTTTGCCCTGGTGTCTTTTGGTCAGGTACGTACTCGGAAAGTGAGGAAGGTCGGAACAGCAAGAATTGTGGGATATTTCTTGAGACATTGGGGGTTTTGGACAAAGCTAAAGTACATGCTTGCTGAGCTGGGCTCCCGATCAACAAAGAAAGGTGGAGAAGAATCGTCAGAAGGAGAAGAGATGAGGTGGAAGCAGCATCTTCATCCCACTCTGCCTTGGGTAGCAGATATGCCGTACCTCGGCCAGATGCAACATGAGATTAAAGTCAGTGATGGAAATCGGATGATATTTTTAGCGCAGTGACCGCTGCATCCTAGAAAGACGGCGTAGATTGCGTTGACAGCTTCTTGCCCCGTTGCAACCAGACACCAGACTGGATATTTCCTCTCCTCTCCAGCGCAGGGCTGCATCGTGTCTCAGCGATTCGGCCGGGCCAAAAGACGCCATCGTCTTGATTCAACAAGGCAATTGTCAGACGAGGAGGTGCGTACCGAGAGGCAGCAGACCGGAGTGCACTGAATAATGGCACCAGGGCAATGACGCATGACAGGGGCAGATTTCTGACGTTTCTGACGGTAACAACCAGGATGGCGGCAGAGGGAAATACTTCGGCGAGCCCAAGCCGGCAGTCCGTTCCGAATTCTAAAGTGGACAATATCAAGCTTATTTTAGAAGCAGAAAAGAGTTTGGCTGACACGGGGCTCAATAAGTTCCTGCGGTTGCATGCCCAACGTTCCCATCACTTCTCAAAGACCTGGAACCCACTGCGCCTTGCAGGATGCGAGATGGCGACCTAAAAAAAAACATTCAAGGTGAAAACAGATTTTCGGGGAGGATCTGTTGAATGCCCGAGCTGATCGGATCGTCATCGCGACGGGAGCATCACATCATCACATCATGCCAACATGGCGATGGCACTCTGAGGGAGGGAGCGCTGGGATGAGAACTTGTGCCGCGGCAAAGATGAAACGGTCTGTGATGCACATGGCCTGATACCGTCGTCGCTTTGCCAAATGTTTCGAATCCTTCTCACTCGCGCCCTGCGATTCGTTCCGTCTTGTCGCACCTCGTGTCTGGAACTGTGGAGCTTCGTTTTTGGCCTCAACATCTGGTCTACTATTTTTTTTTGTGCACATGACACGTTGATACAACCTAATTCCGCCCCAAATGCTCATGTTTCAGCCCGAACTCATACATAACTTGGCCGCTTTACTGCTTAGTTGCTACGGCATACGAGTCAAGCGCCCCCCCAAGCAAAGGCCCCTTATGACATGTCTGTGTTGGATTGAAGTGTAATGGGCGCCGTACGGAATCACCGCAAAACGTCTGTTGTGAATGCAGGGGTATGCTCAACTTCTCAGCCATGCCGCGTGCCAAGGAATGCATCGACAGCCCGAGTCGCTCAATAGACACGCCTCCAAGATGGTATATAAACCGACATTACTCTTCCTATCCCATTTCCAGGCATGTGCAACATCATGCAGTATTGTGTTGTAGCAAGAGTCTGTAAAATGTTGCCCGATTTTTATGCCGCGGATACACTGGCGGCTACAACACAGCCCCAGTTCTGGAAAAGTTATTGTGACCGCGCCTGGCAAATGGTGGAATATCATTACTTGTTGTAGGTAATATTCAGGTCGCTTTTCATGTTTGTATTTGCCACATCTCCGGCCGGATTATCAAAAGCTATTTCAATGCCCACAAAAGGCAAATTAATTCCTGGGCTGCAGCTGCTGTTGAACCAGAGGCGAAACTCGAGGGTGATTACAAAAGCCCAGAAATTTTGTGATGGGGATGGCTGCGAGGAAGTTCACAGAAAAGATATATCTGAGTTGTGTGTTCTTGCTCATGTAAACCATTGATCCACATTAGTCAGTAACGGACTGTTTTACTTGAGAAACCGTTGACATTCTTTCACCATCTCATCACATTTATCTGTTCAGTAGGAATAGTTCGTCTAGAATAGCAGTCCATTTGTGCAAAACGTGCCTGCGCAAGGGGCATAATGCAGCAGTTTTGTAGCAGTTGATACACCACGGCCATATTCGTCCATAACCAGGAACCAGTCACTCCATAAAATTCGTGCTCCTTGCCACCTTTCTGGGACAGTTGCCACATGCTGCATCACTTGCGCCTACTCCAAGACTTAATGGATGCCCATGCTCTTATAGTCGACGGTGTCAGTGGGCTCTTCATTCAGATCAGGGTTCATTAACTCGCGCCCGCGGACGTATTCCTATGAATACGCATGTAAGTCAGCAGTGCGGCACGTGAACCTATCTGCTATAGTTTTGAGACACTTACCAGGCAGTGCATAGCGTGGACATTCATATCGCGCGTCATTTTATCGCCATTACCAGTAATATGCCCGGCTAACATCATTCGAAGATTTACAAGACGGTGAAGCTTGTGGAAAGTACTCTGCGTAAACCCAAATCCATTTGCCTGGCCGCCTTCGATAAAGTCTGGCTCATCTTTGACCTGGTCGGAAGTCCAAAAGCCGCCGTATCTTATTGAGGAATTCCAGTACTCCGATATATACTCGTCGCCAAGCTGCTTATCTTCTTTTATTTCTTCCTGAATGAGCTCTGGCTGACCAAGGGTTCGATGGGCAATATTAATTCTCTCAATTGCTCCCAGGGCAAGGTTATCTCTGTTTAGAACACTGTCATATTTGGTATTGCTGCGCTGTTGAGCTGAAACCCAGTACATCGTCCCTCCTCGGGTGTACATTTCTTCGCGGAATCTTCGGCATTGCTTCGTTTGCGGATGTCTGCCTTGGCAACTGAAGCACGAGACGTTGGGAGTGTCATGTCAAATGCTTGCGAAAGATCAATGAGTCAAAGGTCCAGGGCCTCGCGCTCGATGTTAATTCTGCAAGGTGATTTGGTGTCAGAAGTTAAGATCATTAACGAGGAGCAATCCAAGAGTTAATATGTCATCTACCTACCACATAATGGTATCATTACGAAAAGCCTGAGCGGGAATGCTCTTATCGTCTAGATGCTGTCGAGCCAGATGTAGTCGACGACGTGTGTCATTGGATAGAGTGTCCTGCCAATCTGTAGACCCGCGATTCTGTATCAAAGATATGTCAGAGCCACTGGAGACGGGGGCGGCCTGGACGTGAACAGCGAAGAAAAGCGCCAAAGCGCTGGAGACAGCCGTGAGCTTGAGCATGGTGAGGGTTGAATGTATGGACTGGGCTTGTGATTGTATACAACTGCATGAGAAGAGAAGAGTGAGGATACAAATTCTGAAGGCATCAAGAGTTATTTCATGGTGAATCTTTGTGTACAAGGAACTGATAAGTCTCGACTTTGTAACTTGTTTCAAGCCCCTCTCTGGTGCAAAGATGATGAGTGGATGTACACGACACAGGCCACGTACAACTTTTCTTGATGCTTGCTAGCGTGTCTTTTGACCGCAAATATTAGCGTCTTGATTGGAGATTCGACTGACCGACAAGATGAAATGAAGCATGCGTGTAAGTTATATTTAGGGAGGTAGTGAGATATATACCTTAGGCTTGGTAGATAAAGCATCAAACAAAATGCAAAACGGTGGTGTTAGTGTCTGGTCTGTCCCATGGTATGGATTAGATATGGTGGGTAACACAATCCGTCTCGACTCAAGAGGTTCGACATTCAATGCAAGTCAAAGTCATTTCCTATAATTTCTAATGAGTTAGACCAACGAGAAGAGCCAAGGCTGAATACACGACGCCTCAATTTTTTTAAAGGAAGGTGGTATTAGTAGAGGGGTTCTATGGCAGCACAGACCAGAACATTCAACATTGAACCAGTTGACCGTACGTACTCCTTACTGGCACCAAAACAGCACAGATGCCGGCCTGGCACGTTCCCATATTATTACCGTACCAAAATTCGGGTGAAACCGAGCCAATAATGCTGTGTTGGTCAATGAATGCAACTTACCATTACTGGCCAAAATGCATGTTGGCTGCAAGCAAATATTGCAGCGGGGAGAAACATAAGCAAACCAGTTGACCAGACCCTTTCCTGACGCGGCTCCCGCGACATTAATGAGTAGTTATTACGTCTCTTTTTTGCGGCAGGTTCAAGGTTCATAATCAGCACGCAATCTTGTCCCGGTTTACCGCCGGACTCTGCGGTCATCCCTTATCACTGAGCCAAGAACGACCACCATTTCGACCTTTCTCGTGTAGACCCAACAGCTGTTGGAGATACAATGCCAATTTACACAGTGGAGAAGGCAGTTATTGGGGAGACTCTCGGAGGTAGGATAGAACCCACGTCTGGTACATACGACCACAGCCGCCAGCAAAATTCACGATCCTGGTCTGCAGATCTGTCACTCTTTGCAACGTCGCCACCCGTTGCAACTCCCTTGCCCTTCCATTTTCGGCCAACAGAAGACCGTGTGCCGTCAGATGGTCTGGGATCGCACCGCATACTGAAACAGCTTGCGGTAGTGGCTTAGAATTTCTTTGGTACTAGGCGTGGTGGTTGGAAGCTGTTGCTCTCCGATTTTAAAATCCCCACATTGGCTTGACGGGATGTTATTATTCCGAGCCGTCTTTCACATGGTCCAGGTCGTGCCACTCTTGGATCGACAGAAAAAAAATTATTTCCATTTTCTACCCCTCATCGACCAGTCTTGAAAGGAAACTCAAAATGGCAACTGATGGAAAAGATGCTGGGCCGTCGCCCTACGATACGTATCAGACGTCGTTGACGACGAGATACTGCAGCCCGGAGATGGCACGACTCTTTGGCCAACGCTCCCGCCACTCGCAATGGCGCAGGCTTTGGTTGCTGCTCGCAGAGTCTGAGAGAGAGCTTGGTATCCAGACCATCACGACGGAAGCGCTCGAGCAGATGGAGCGGCATCTTGAAGTAACCGACCAAGACTTTGAGCTTGCCAGGGCCGAGGAGAAGATTCGCCGCCACGACGTCATGGCTCATGTACACGCCTTCGGAGCTGTTGCGCCTGCAGCGGCTGGAATTATCCATTACGGTGTAAGTTGAAGTCGCAATCCTCAGTCTCCTGTGATGCTTCTGATAGTTTTGCAAATCTCTGTCAACCGAGTCTAACGGGCTAAAACAAGGCGACAAGCTGCTTCGTAACTGACAATGCGGAACTTATCCTCATGCGCGATGCCATGGACCTTCTCCTTCCAAGACTGGCCAGGGTTGTCTCAAACCTGTGCAAGCTTGCTAGAGAATGGAAGGCAACACCCACTCTTGCATACACGCATTTGCAGCCAGGTATTTTCCCTTGCTACCACGAAATTGGTAGGAACTCCGCTAACCATTCACTTGCTAGCTCAACTGATCACAGGTATACCGAAAGCAATGCTTCTTTTCGGGTGTAATACAGACCCTCAAGACAAAGTGCTGACTTGCATCTAGTTGGCAAGCGGGCAGCTCAATGGGCCCAAGATCTCGTTTTCGACCTTGAGAGTATCGAACACGTTCGCAATGGGTTGCTGCTTCGAGGTGAGCCGCGATACATGTGGTGCATCAGACAGCGAGAGACTGAATAACATGTCATGCCAGGTGCGCAAGGAACTACAGGAACTCAAGCTTCGTTCCTCGAGATTTTTGGCGGGGACGGCTCCAAGTGTGACCAGCTGAACGCACTACTGTGCAAGAAGACCGGCTTTCCCGCATGCTACGATGTGTCGACGCAAACGTACACCCGCAAGGTTGACCTGCTCGTCGCCAACGCCATCTGCGGCCTTGGTGCTACGGCGCAAAAGATTGCCGGAGATATCCGCCATCTCGCCTCGTGGCAGGAAGCAGAGGAGCCTTTCGAGGTCAAACAGGTGGGGTCAAGTGCTATGCCCTTCAAGAGAAACCCGATGCGCTCAGAGAGGGTCTCTAGCCTCGCCCGAGAGCTTCTGTCCAAGCAGGCAACCACCGCAAACACCCTCGCAGCGCAGTGGATGGAGCGCTCACTGGACGACAGCGCCGTCCGCAGAATGGACTTGCCCGAGATGTTCCTCTTGGCCGATGCTATTATTGGCAGCCTGGACAATATCACCGACGGCATGGTCATTTACCCCAAGGTAATTGCGTCGCGTGTTCAGGAGCAACTGCCTTTTATGTGCGCGGAGAATATCATCATGAAGCTCTGTGCCAAGGGCATATCCAGGCAGGAAGCCCACGAGCAGATCCGCGTCTTATCACACCAAGCTGCCGGTGTCGTGAAGCTCGAGGGTAAACCGAATGATCTTATAGACAGGATCAAGGCTACTGAGTTCTTCCAACCTATCTGGGCTGATCTTGACGACATGCTGAGACCTGAGCTTTATATTGGCCGTAGTATTGAAATTGTGGAACGTTACTGTGGTCTGGAAGGTATAGCAGAGAAGAAGATCCAGCGATACAGGGCCGTGTTCGAGAAATCAGGAACGACGAAGCTAAATGTCTGATATTTGAGCTGTTTGTTTCACCAGGGCAGATAGGCCGTACGGTGTCACGAAGGAATAGATCTTTTTATTGATGCGCGTGAAAGCATACTGGGGTGCAGTTATTTAGGAAGGGGGTTGGGGCTTACTGCTCACCTTTCCTAGGATTAGGAGGAATGTCAACAGGGGCCAGGTTACCGATTCTAGGATTCAGGTCCGTGGATAGCTTAGCGGTCCTGGGATTGAGGGGACACTGCTCACTATTCCTAGGACCGGCGGATGTCAACCGTGACTACTTTCTCGGTTCTAGAATTTTGGGCAGGGAACAGCTTACCGTTCCTAGGATCAGGGGTCAGTTCCTAGGATTTAGGGCGAGAAGCAAGTCCCTGGGATTTGGGGGTCACGCCCCTTCGCCCTCTGCCCTCACTGCTCGCTCTCTCCAAATCCACCTCGGGCATCGTTTTACCAGCTTAAGCAGCAACTCGGAGATGGGAAGCTTGGGGAGGCAATCGCACCTGAACGATAAGAGTGATGCGCCACTCCCCTGGTAGAAAATCTCCCACCGTCAGCCATATGAATCGGGCACCTTGATCACATGCTTGCTCGTTGTATTGAGCAGCAAGTCTAACTAGACCCTTTCCACCTCGCATGAGGGGAAGCGTCTCTGTCAAGTTGACCGGAAATGTTTTCTTCACAGCACGCACCAAGGAAGAGGTATATCCTTGTCGGCCTTGACTAAAGGAAAATCCTAGGGACTGCAAACGCCAGGCGCGGAATAGGGACTCGAGCAACTCGTTGTACAGTGATATTAAAGCAAAATATCCATACCTGGTATCCCGAAAAGGAACGCGCTCTAATCGAATAGCAATTATACCCCCTTATATTCCGTTGACACCTGGTTTTACGGATCAAATAGCGTCAGTTCCAGCTGTGGCCATGCTTTCGAGTTGTCAATCTTAATCAGAGACATACGTGCGGCGTGGCAATTTCGATGCAAAATCAGGTTCTTTTTGTAGTCGCTACATGAGATCATGTTTCAATTGCATCCGGCTTTCAATTCCCTAGTAAGAATAGTCCGGGGTTGTGACAAGGGCTTGAATAGAGGGCTTGGAGCAAAAGGGCTCAATTCAATAATAATCTCGTAGGATCTCAAAGGTCCTGAGTTGCCTCAAGGAAGGAAGGGAGTGGAGACCTCTATATATAGTTACATGAAAGGAACGCCCGGGCCTAGAGCTCTCTCCCGGGCACGTGTTCCAGCTGTGTCACCAATAAGTCCTTTATCGGTGAAGCCCCTTTATTGGGCTTCACGATCTGTTTGGCCTTTTCCGTGTAACAGGGGTAGTGATATGATGGCAGCCCTATTTAATCCCGACCTGAGATGGATTTAGCACATGTGGAGAAATAATGATGAAGTGACCTTCTGTATCATGAAACTAAATTTTCCAAGAGCATGGCCTCCTACGAGATCTGGGCCAGCTGTTTTCGTGTTGGTCCGACTCCTGCGAGCCAAAAGCCTTTCGCAGGCCAGCACTAACCTTTATGACATCGCCCAACACCCAGCTGCATATGCCAGCACGCTGTGCGTATAATACTACCTGCCTAAAGAAAACCAACGCGCATATAATTCCACTATTTCTAGGCTCAAATTCTCGTCCAAGTTGTGACGGACATGAGTCGGAGCTGTGTGTTGGCTCGTTTCTTGAGACACAAGAACCTTGTAGCAAACGCCACGCCTTGATGTAAGTTGCAAGATATCCCAAAACAAGAATATACCGTCTCGATATGAACTTGCGCGGGTGACAAGTGTATAAACCCGTCGCTGAGTTCGAATCAGGCCCCCTCTCAGCCGTTTTTCACAAACTCTTTGTTTTGAGTTATTTTTCATCCTCTGTCACCGTCTTTTCTTATGGCTGTCAATGTCAACCAAGTAGGCTTCCAACGCCGCTTGGCTGTGGTTAAGCAACTGCTCCGCGACCGTGGCCTTGAGGTTTGTATTTGATCTTGAATGAGGTAATGGCTCTCTCACTAATTGTGGCTTTTCCAATCGCCCAAAATCTCGACCCCTAGCATACAACGAGGAATATAAATACCCCTATAACAACTACCTGTTCAAAGTAGAGCTGGCAACTCCTGCTTTATCCTCCCTGTTCCCAGGCACGCAGCCTGGCACAACCAAGGCGCCCTCCAATGGAGTATCTGCCCTGGTTGTCAAACTCAGCAATCTTGCGGTGGATGGCATGAATAATGCCAATCGAGTGGGAAATGATGTGGCTGTGCAGCACCTCGTTCGCCAATCCATGATGGAAGCCGGGCTCGGTCCCTTGGTCCCGGCCGACTACGCCTGGGCACCGGCCACGACCACTAATATCTCAGATGAGATGGGCTTTGGATGGATAATGTCAGAGCCAAGGGATGGTGTCGACTTGGACTCAGAGTTCTCGTCTCTACAGTGGGGGGATAAGGAGCATGTCTTGGAGCAGATTGCTGCAATCCAGGCAGTAAAAATTGCCAGAGACCGTCACAAAATTTGGCGGGCTTACATTTGACTCAAGCGGGCAAATAGTCCGCGGCGAATCGCCCATGCTAAAGGAGAAGCCCGTGACCTCATATGCCAAATGGAGGGTTGCCCATCTGCGCGGGTGGCTCAAGGGAGCAGCCGAAAGCCCTGTTATTCAGGGCTGGAGAAGCAACGGCTTAAATATAAGGATTGAAAAGTTTCTCAGCCACGGCGGTCCGGACAAGGTTCTCGCCGACGTTGACCTACGGCAAAAAAGCATAATACACGGAGACTTTTGTATGTCGGTCTACGCACACCCTTTGCGAAGAAAGTGTCCTTGAACACTTGACTAACCTGCCACAGCGACAAATAACATGCTCTTTGACAGAAACACCAAGAAAATCACGGCTCTTCTGAACTTTGACTGGTATTTCATCTCCCACCCCTTTGATCCGTTTACGGTTTGCCTCATCGACCTTGGCTGTAATATCAGCGACGGGGACAACGAGATCATGGCAGCTCTTCTCTCAGGAAATTTTACAAACCACCGTCTAACCCCGATAAGGAGTCCACCGATAAGTGGGAGCTTGCCAAGGCGTGGAATGCCGCAATGAAAAAGAACGGCGTAGTCTCTCCAAGTGATATGAAGGGAGTGGACCAGATTCGTGACATGTTACGGCTCGGCGCGCTACTTAACCCGTTTAGACTACGCAACAAATCAATGCTTGAGCAGATGAGTGATGAGAAGAAGGCCGAGCTGCGGGCAACGGAGGAGGAGGAGCTCGTACACTGGCTACAAAGACACGGTCCTAGTCATGTATCTACGAGTGCAACACACGGCGCAAGACGTAGGTAGTGCGGCCCCGCCGGACTGTCAACGGAATAGAAGGAGCCTAATTGTAAAGAAATTAGAGCACGTTCTTTTGTGACATGGACAAAACGTGAGGATGAATATGGGCCACGGAGGAGATGAATGCTGACACTTTGCACGCCTCACATCAATACACTACCACCGCGGCTGGGGCCTACTTTCCTTACGAGAAAGACACAGATGGACGGCTCAGATCATCGATGTCTTATTCGAGTTGAACACATGAAAGTGGTATTGCATCTGCGCTGATGACGCTTCACCTCCCCGCTGGACAGCATCATCAACACAATGGCATCGAATGTCTAATAAGGAATTTCGTATGAAAGCTACGTAGTTACATCATTCTAGGGGCATTTAAGATTGGAGGTTGTGACTAGTCAGAAACCTAGATGCTTAGCCATAGTCCGTGGGCTTTCAAGGAAATGTCTTGTATGTCACGAAAGTGATACATCCTTCCGAAGACGGTCAATATATCCTGATGTAGCCGGAACCGGCTGTATTAACATGAAGAATATATTGCGAGGGATTGTAAAGAGGCTAAGAGGTTAGACTAGGCTTTTAAGGATAAGAGCGTAAGGTAATTATAGCTTAAATACCTTAATTATTTAGGATTAGTTACATGCACTCAAAATATTATATACATTGTTAATTTTTTTTATTTGAAATCAGAGACGTAACACCACGTTTCGCATCTCAGCGGGTTGTCTTTGAAGACGTTGCAGTGAGGTATCAAACCGCAGTTGATCCTGACCCCAGAACCTGGGAGGGTTTTGACCCTGAAGCTGCTGCGTTTTGTACGCTGGCGAGAAACTGTTCCATCAGAGCAAGGCTGTACCAGTTCTCTATCTGGGTCTGATCCTTGGCTCAGGACAGTTGACCAGCAGTTCAGCACCACTGCATTATCATAGCGTCGAGAACAGACGGATAAATTCATTTACTTCGAAAAGACTATCGGCACTTTACTAAGCGCTACTGCCGCCATATTGAAGCCTAACCGCACAAGCTTGCTACTCCTTCTACACGGCGACTCGTTCACCGTCCACTGCCAAGTCTCGCACGTCCTGCTCAGACAGAGGTCCGGTCAGGCTCCATCGAGTCGACCCAGCTATTCTCGACGCATTGAAGAGGGATTCTGATCCTGTAGATGCGCACGTAGCGCTGCAACACGAGGCAGCTGACTATTCCCCGGCCTTGCTTGCTTTGCATATCTGGTTGAGGTAGTATGCAGGTCGTTGGACATAGAAGTGTTATACCAGGAAGTAGCAGCCCTGGTCCTGCTTCTTATAGCTGAATGTAACGTGATCACCTTTGGGGTCCTCTGCCGTTCCCTATTGATGGTCGTTGTTGAGTGAACTTCGTTCCTGTCGTCAATCAGTCATTGTGGGACGAGCCTTGCACCGGAAATTGTTCCGGTCCCTTATTTAGGGATGATGTCATACCGAACAAAAACAGCCTTGAGATACTCCGTAGAGCTGCTCGTTACGCGTGTCTCAGCGCGTATTCAATCATCAGGAATCGGTGCACCTACTTCCAGATGGAACATGCAGTCTTCATCCTCATCTCTCATGCGCTGCAGACGGGTTTCTGGCTGCCGCGTCAGATTTTTTTGCGCCGCGCGACAACCGTAAGAGCTTCCTCCAGTCGCAGTACTCGACCATGTCAGCACCACCTGCCGAGTACGGGTATATTCATGGAGTAGAGCATCTCAGTGACTATCTATATCCGTCGTACTTGATCGATTCGAGATTAGCGGGCCTGATGGCACTCATCCATGCCTCGTGACCCTTCCGGCACGATGCAGCTTGCGGGACGCGAGGGAGGCATCAGGTAGCTCTTTATTTCAGCTTCACGTTGCCCGATCTCTTGCTGCGCAACTAGTCACGGCCGTGTCCCTCGTCCACGCTAGGGGTTATGCCCATGGAGGTGAGTGTCCCGTTCTTTTTTTACGCCGACACCTCAACTGACCCCGTGCTCTAGATCTTCATCTCGGCAACCTTCTCCTACAGCTGCCCTCATCACTCGATACCCTGTCAGTAGAGCAACTCTACGCACGAGACGGGGAGCCGGAACAAGAGCCAGTAGTTTGTCTCGACGCCGAGGCAGCATTAATAAACCCCGGGGTTCCCTCCTACGCGGTGCCTTCAGTATGGTTGGGCGTACCAAGCAATGACATAACCCTAGGCGAGGTGAAGTTAATACTAAGCGATTTTGGAGTTGCCTTCCGGCCAGGGGATAAGTCTCGATTTGAATCATATACACCCGTTATACTCCGGCCACCCGAGGCATTCTTCAAGCTAGTAACGCCTCTCACATTTGCCTCTGATATTTGGAGCCTGGGTTGCGTGATTTTTGAGTTTCTCGCCCACAGGTCGTTTATTGACGGGTTCCTCGCACTGCAGGACGAGATCATAGCGCAGCAGGTAGAACTGCAGGGTCCCATGCCGTCTGAGTGGTGGGGAAGATGGGAGAAGCGGCCGGATTGGTATAATGAAGCAGGCAGACCTTCAAGTAATGCGTGTGATATCTGGTCATGGGAACGGCGGTTTGAGCAGTGGGTGCAAAAACCACGACAATCTCGGGATATGGAAACGATTAGAGAAGACGAGCGGGATGCTTTGTTTAAGCTCCTCCGGTGGATGCTTGCATGGAGACCAAGCGAGCGACCGGACATAACAAAGGTACTAAAAGCAGATTGGATAACAAGATGGGCATTGCCTTCATACCAGAAAGGCTTGGAAGCGGCGTTTACCTTGACTTAACCAAGACAGCATGGGTGAAAATGACGTCCTAGAGTACAAAGGCGAAAACTGGAAGATTTTACATGTCGGTATCGTATTCAGTGGCTTCCTAGATAGATTTGGAACCCATTTTGGCTTGACACCGTGCGTCGTGTGCTCGACGTTGGTTAATGAGCATTGTGGAGTAGAAGTACATTGGAATGTGCACAAGACAAACTTCCAGGAAGTGCAGCCACGGCGAGTGATCGGCTTACGCTAGCTGTTGGGTTGGAGGATGGAATTTTAACCATAGCATGCCAGGAGGTATGGGAAGCACGGCGTCGATACAGATGCTAGTTCGAGGCAGCGGAAGATAATTGGACACAACGTCGATAATTGCGCGAAAGTCCTCTTGATTCGCTCAGGATATCAATATTCAGGATGGAGATTATAGCCGTTGCTCTGCAACCTAGTTCATTTCTTGACCTGTACCAAGACGAGTCTGGTGGAATCCCCGACCTTGCTATAATCTGGAGGAGCGTCGACTCTTAGCGGAGCTTATTTACACCGATACAAGCAGGTTAGATAACGAGATAAGGTTAGAGTATTAAATATATATTGCGAATGTAATAATGAACTTATTATAATAAGAATAAATTAACTTATAATAGTTTCTTCACTAATCGGCTAGTGTGTCTGACGCATCGCGATGCGTTCATGGCGTCTTGCGTGGTTAGTTACGGTTCCCCGGCCCAGGTACGGCTAAAATACAGTGTTACTAGATGCCCTCTATCCAGCCCGTTTTTTTGATTTTTTTTTCTCAAATAACTTAGTATGTATTATATTCAATAATTTTAGCTAGTGTGTCTTACTATTTTAACGTATTATAGTACGTTTATAATATCTTTCGTGGTTAGTTGCAATTCCCTAGCCTAAGTGTAGCTAAAATATAGTGTCATCTAGTCTGTTCAGAAATGTATGGAACAGAAGAAGAGTTAGGCGTCGCTGTAAAGGAATCTAGGGTTCCTCGCGATCGGCTCTTCATTACCAACAAAGTGGCCAGGGGATCGAAGACATCCCTGCAACACTTCACCAGAGCCTTAAAAAAATGCAAATGGAATACTTTGACCTGTCTCTTGTCGAGCGCTGCGCACGTTTCGGACCCAGTGTTTGCTAACATAACATGAAGCTACTTAGTTCTGTTACACTTTAGAGGGCACTAATTGTAACGATAATGTATATATATAAGTTTATCTCTAGCTATAAAAGAGAGAATCGTATGCGCTCTTTTTATAAGTACGCTTATTATTAGGGTTATTTACTTATAGTTAAGGGTTTACCCTTATTTAATTATACGTATATAATTTATACCTATAATAAGTAATTTATTCTAATATACCCCTTAATTAAGCCTATTATTAAGGCTATTATAAGCTCTCTTTTTCTTATTTAAATACGTAATTAAGCGTTAAAGCTATAATTATAAGCTTAATTACGTATACTTTTCCTTTTCTTAAC